AAGCGGGCATGAAAGGAGCGGACCAAAGAGGGAGCGTGCACATCAGAGCTCGAAACCCAGGACCGCTCCTCAGGGCCGTACCCCTTCCAATCCACCAAATATTGCAGCCGACCCCTAGAAACACGAGAGTCGAGAAGGGCAGCCACCTCGTACACGTCGTCAGAGACAGCGCGAGGGGAAACGGGCCGCCCGAGGGGACGAGAGAACCGGTTACACAGCAAGGGCTTCAAAAGCGAGACGTGAAACGTGTTCGGGACACGCATGGAAGGAGGCAGATCAAGGGAGTAGGAAACGGGGTTAACCCTACGTAACACCTTGAAGGGACCAAGAAACCTGGGGGCAAATTTCATCGAGGGAACCTTGAGACGGAGGTTCCTGGAGGACAACCATACCCTATCACCCGGAACATAAGAAGGGGCCGCAACCCTACGGCGATCAGCAAACTTTTTCTGAGCAGCTGCTGAACGAGACAGCGCAACATGGACCTGATCCCACGTCTTCCGCAAAGAGGCGAGGTGCTGGTCCAAGGCGGGCATTCCCTTGTCGGAGAACGCACCGGGAAGGACAGAAGGACGAAACCCATAAGCAACCTCAAAAGGACTTAAGCCAGTAGACGAATGAGACACCGTATTCCTGGCAAATTCAGCCCACGGAAGAAGGCGAGACCAGTCATCCTGGTGCGCATTAGTGAAGCAGCGCAAATACAATTCCACAGACTGATTAGCACGTTCGGCCGCACCATTAGATTGCGGGTGATAGGAGGAAGAGAACGACAAGGAGACCCCCATCTCAGCACAAAAGCCCCTCCAGAACCGAGAGACAAATTGAGGGCCCCTGTCAGATACGATATCCTGAGGTACCCCATGCAATCGGAACACTTCTTTGGCAAACACCTGAGCTAACTGAACCGCAGAAGGCAGTTTCTTAAGTGGAATAAAGTGCGCCATTTTAGAGAACCTATCCGTCACAGTCAGTATCACCGTCTGACCATCAGAAAGAGGCAGGTCTACAATGAAATCCATGGATAAGTGGGTCCATGGTTTCTTGGGTATAGATAGAGGCATCAGAAAACCCTGGGGTCTCACATTAAGGGTCTTACACTGCGTGCAGACCTGACAAGCCTGAACAAAATCCACTACGTCTCGCATGAGTGAAGGCCACCAGAACTGTTGAAGGAGGCCCTTGTAGGTTTTGGTAACCCCCGGATGACCAGCAGTTTTGGCTGTGTGAAATAAAGTTAACAACTTTTTTCTGTCATTTGCTTCAACGTATAGTTTACCAACCGGCGTCTCAGGGGGTGCCTGGGTTTGGTATGTCTTAATACTATCAAGGAAAGGTGAAGAAACAACCAAACGGGTAGCAGCTATTATCTGAGACGCAGGTACAATAGGTTCAGGAGTCGGGTTAACAAATTCTACTGGTTCATGCTGCCGAGAGATAGCGTCAGCTTTGGCATTACGGCAACCAGGTCTATAGGTAATAACATATTGGAAGCGTGAGAGAAATAGAGACCATCTAGCCTGCCGGGCAGATAACCTTCTAGCATCAGCTATATAGGATAGGTTCTTATGATCTGTTATAACCATAATTTTGTGTCTAGAACCCTCTAATAAGTACCTCCATTCCTTAAAAGCTAACACAATAGCTAATAGTTCCCTGTTCCCAACATCGTAATTCTTCTCTGAATCAGACAACCTTTTAGAAAAATAACAACAGGGATGGAGGGGTTTGTCATACGACAACCTCTGTGACAGTACGGCTCCCACACCTGACTCTGAAGCGTCTACTTCCATAACAAAGGGAAGAGAAGGATCAGGGTGGTGCAGCACTGGAGCAGAGGCAAATGCCTTCTTGAGGGTTTCGAAGGCCTTAAGGGCTTCAGGAGTCCAAACCCTAGGGTGTAGACCTTTTTTTGTCAGCTTCGTTATAGGAGAGATGAGTGGTGAAAAGTTTTTTATAAATTTCCTATAATAGTTGGCAAATCCTATAAAACGCTGGATAGCCTTCAGTCCTTGGGGAAGTGGCCAGGACAGTATAGCTTCCAATTTAGCAGGATCCATACTGAAACCCTGTTCAGTAATGATATATCCTAGGAATTGCACAGAGGTATGATCGAATAAACATTTTTCTAACTTACAGTAGAGTCCGTTCTGCAATAGCCTTTTGAGCACCATCCTAACATGGTTATGGTGTGACTTCAAATCAGGAGAATACACAAGTATGTCGTCAAGGTACACCACAGCACAGACATGCAATAGATCCCTAAGGACATCATTTATGAGGTCCTGAAACACGGCAGGAGCATTACACAGTCCAAAAGGCATGACCAGATGTTCGTAATGCCCACTGCGTGTGTTGAACACTGTCTTCCACTCGTCATTCTCCTTTATAAGGACAAGGTTATAAGCCCCCCTGAGGTCTAATTTGGTGAAGAATTTAGAACCTTTAACACGATCAAACAACTCAGTGATGAGGGGGATAGGGTAGGCGTTTTTAACCGTTATGTTGTTTAGACCCCTGTAGTCTATACATGGCCTCAAATCGCCCTCCTTCTTTGCCACAAAAAAGAAACCAGCACCAGCAGGAGAGGAGGACCTTCTAATAAAACCTTTTCTTAGGGATTCCCGTATGTACTCCTCCATGATCTGGTTCTCTTTTTCAGAAAGAGGGTAGACCTTTCCCCTAGGAGGCATAGTACCCGGTAAGAGGTTTATGGCACAATCATACTCACGATGTGGAGGTAGCTTATCTGCCTCCCTCTTTTCAAAAACCAAGGCAAGGTCTGCATAAACAGAAGGGACAGAAACCGAGAGTGGTTTAGCCGTGGGCACGTTAAGTAAACAAACAGGACGTACATGAGCCATACAGTCTCGTTGACAAGATTCCCCCCAGGAGAGTATATCTAAACAACCCCAATCAAGAACAGGGTTGTGTTTAACTAACCAGGGAAAACCCAGAACGATGGAGGCTGTAGGGGAGTCAATTATTTGGAAGGTTATCTTCTCCTTGTGCAAAACACCCACAGACATAACTATTTCCTGGGTTTCATGAGTCACCAGAGGTTTCTCCAGTGGTCTACCATCTATGGCCTCAACAGCCAAGGGTGTCTCCTTTCGGATCAAATTCAGGGCTGCGGTTTTGGCAAAGGTCTCATCCATAAGGTTGTCTGCCGCACCCGAATCGATCAGGGCTTTGGTTGTTATAGTGGTTTTATTGACCAAAAGAGAAACCGTAATAAACGGTCTGGAGATGGACATATGAGGGGACAAAGTCATAACACCCGAGGCCGACCCCTCTCTAGGCCTTAGGTGCTGCAGTTTCCCTGTACTTTAGGGCAGGCTTTACAGTGATGCCCCCTCTTCCCACAATAAAGGCATAACCCCTCCCTTCTACGGTACGCTCTTTCTACCTCAGTTAACCCCGTAGCACCCAACTGCATGGGTTCAGGGGATGGTTGCCTAGGAGCGGGTAACGCTAGCAGTGAAGTACTGGGTAGAGCAGGTAACACCCGTGTATCCAACCGTCTTTGGCTACGCCTCTCTCTAATACGGTTATCGATAAGAATCACATAGTCTATAACATCATCTAGAAGAGCAGGCAATTCCCTGGATGCTATTTCATCCAGTATATAAGCGGCCAGACCCTCCTGAAAGGCTGTTACGAGGGCGTCATTATTCCAAACCACTTCAGCTGCTAGAGTACGGAATTCGATAGTGTAATCTGCTACAGATCTGTTACCCTGTCGGACCCTAAGAAGAGCCATGCCAGCAGAAGCAACCCTACCGGGTTGATCAAACATGCGTCTGAAAGCTGTCAGAAAATCTGCAAATGACATAGGAGACGTATTTTCCCAAATGGGGTTGGCCCATGCTAAAGCTCTCCCGGACAAGTGGTTTATCAAAAAGGCAATTTTAGATCTGTCAGTGGGATAGGAACGTGGATTCATCACCAAATGGATGTCGATTTGGTTGAGGAAACCACAACACAATGCTGGGTCACCGCTGTAGCGCTGTGGCGGCGTCATGTGAACTACATGAGCGGGAACAGGTACTGGAGTGGGAATGGGTTCGGGCACAGCAGCAGCAGCCTCCTGAATGGCAGGTTGCAAGTGTGCAGTACGAGCCAGTATGGTTTGCAGAGCTTGAGCAAACTGATCCATACGGTGGTCCAAGCCATCCATTCTAGCCTCTTGATTAACTAGGAGCTGTGGTATGTCAGCAGGTTCCATTATGGCCCTGTTGTAATGTCACGATTCGGGGAACCCAACACGCTGGCACACACACACACACACAAAAGGTGCCGTACCGGACCTTAGAGTGGCCGGGCTAAGCACACACAGAATAGTCAGGAGACAAGCTGAGTAAGGGGAACCAGAAGACAGAATAACGTGAAACAAGCCGAGGTCAAAGGGTAGGAGAAAGTCACAGAGTCAGATAAACAAGCCAGAGAGTACGTAACCAGAAGCACAAGGTAAGTAGCAATACTAGAAAGCAAAGACCACAACAGGGCAGGGAGGAACAGGAAAGGTAAGTATTTAAACCATAAGGTTAATTCTGATTGGATAATTTCCAATCAGAATTAACAATCACACGTGGGAGATATCTAGACCTCCCACTGTGATTAAGGCACTGTGCCTTTAATGCCGGGTCAGGTGACTGACCCCGGCGTGTATAAACCTGGGCGGTCTCCCAGCGTGCAGCGTCATGTATGCTGCCGCTGGGGGACGTGGAGGAAACGGCGGGCGGCATCCGAGGCTGGAAGGATGCCGCTCGCCGGACCCACGAGGAGGAGGGGACCGCGGACGGCTGGAGGGTGAGTACCGCGAGCGGAGTGCAGCCTCCCCTCGCAGCCGCCCGCGGGATCCCGACATACACTAGGTAAAGGGTTTGGATAAAAGTCATCCATTGTACATAAATACAAATGAAAAAAAAAAACACATTATAAGAACCTTCTGTAGTTCGCTATGCATTTGTAAAGAGGTAAAAATAACACGGCATTCATTATATTCATAAAAAATATGCTTTATTAAAAGATACAAATGTTGAAGAAATTAAACAAAACTAAAGAACACAAATGACCAAAAGCTATTGCTAAAAGAGGCGTTTTTTTAGTTCATTGTTTTCTCTAGAAGTTAATTTACAAAAGCATTGTGTTCTCTAAATGCGCCTATTGCTGGTAATAACAATACAATAGTCTTCCTACATCAAGTTTTGGTGATGGTAAAAAACGTAACAATCACAACCTGCAATAAAATGTCCTCCAACCCACAGAACAGGCACTCGAAGTTTAGAGTAAAATTCCATAGTGATAATTTATTGAAATCCATGGACACACATATACACTACACGTCTACACTAATTCAGATTTGATATCCATGGCCTATTGCCCTTGATTAAAGCAGCACCTGTGTATAACACTTTGTTTTCAATTAACACTGCTATACTCAACCTTTAGACTGTAACCTGCTTGCATAATGTTGGATAAAACACAATTGTGGCAAATAATAAAGAATACCTTCCATGTGAGCCATTTAAAGGCGACTGCTACACACAGTCCAATCACAATTACTGAAAAGACAATATACAGAGGCTCAGAATCACACTAATTTTGGAGTCTCATTCAAAGTAATTATTTTAGTTCTAGAATGATTCAATTGCTATAACAGTTGAAACTATCAAATACCCAGTATCACGTTTCTATAAAGTTGAAAATACATTACTTATAAATAATTGCATAGAAATAATGAAATCACAAAATAGATTGATGCTCTTTTCAAAACCTCCACTCCCACCCGCACAAAGAACTCTCATACTTATATTCTGCATTGCACCAGGCAGCACAGAACAGAACAGATATCCAAATACCATACAAAGATACACGTAAGCCAAGGCAGGTCAAAATCTAAAACTCCAGTAGTTGTGGATCAATTAATACAATGATACACTGCCAGCTTAAAGAAACACTAACGTGCTAGGAATACAAATCTGTATTCTAAATGCTGTAGTGTCTATGGCCCTAGTTATAGAGGCATAATACCTAGTACCGAATACCCATGTGTGTTACATTTTTTAAATTTTATTTTAAAAAGCTCTTTACTTGGCTTACATTGCTACATATCTCTCTGCCTCCCTCAATGTCATGGAACAGGCATGGCTGCGTTGGTCTAATCCAATTCTCCTCATAGAGGAGCATTGGGGACTTGATGCATGTGCAGAGAGCGTCCTGTGTGCATATAAGCTTCTCCATAGGAAAGCAACGAAAATGGTCCACTGCATCTAACATAAGAAGCCCTTTAAGACTGGAAACATATCATAAGTTGTAATTTAGTTGATCTGAAGTTCTACAAGAGCTGGGGGGGATCAGCATGTTGTCTCCCCTTGATATAAGATAATTATAAGGCCTAGCTATAAAATATACAGCCTGCAGGGTATGGCTGATTGTAATCCACTGATTGTATATACAGTTTCAGTGAACGACCCAATAAAATGTGAAATATTGCTGGGATTATAGATAACACAATTTTTAAATAAAATTTCAACTTTTGCTACATTTTAGTATCACAGCTAGACATTTACTAGAAAAGCTAGAAAAAAAAAATTGATAAACATGTTTAGTATATAATTTGACCGTAAGTAAAACATAAAAACCAATGCTATTTTCTATCTGGAATTTTAAATATTAAAGTAGAAAGGTCTCTCGTGAGACTTATGTACAAGCTGACAACTACGGGTAGAGCTATTTAATTAAAATTCTCACTGACATTGTTTTTCCCTCTCATACGTCTCCTGGGATGCCCAACGTTGCATGTAAATGAAGTTACCCTCTGTAGTGCTTGTACTATAAATGTGTGTACATCGCACGGTTTCTCTGTAGAAGATAGAGAGCACCCAAGGTATCATGGGGTGGAAAAGTCTTCATGAGAAACATATTGTTTTTCTTACTAATTCACTCCAGTAAACCTTTCATTAGCATTTATTGGGGTGAGAGAATATCGAATTGTCACTTCCAGGAATGGAGCAGTGGCACGTTTATATTAAAATAGTTTCTGTGTGAGCAAAGCATGCATTTCTTCAACTCTACACAGTGCTATCCAGTTGTTGGGATAAAGTAACAGCCTCAAGCAGGAATACTGATCTTTGACTCTGTACGCTATTGTTAGACTACAATACCCATAATTCTCTGCCAGACGACAATAAGAGCTACAGGGCAAGAGCTTATCTATAGCTTAGATTTAGGTACAACATATCTAAAGACTTGTTGGTAAATAAAATGCCATGGACCTAATGTTATATGTCTGTCCTATTTAATAAAATATATAATTATTTGTATATACATGGAGCATGATCAAATGGCAAACTAATATAACTTGCAGATAATGTAAAAGTAAAAAAGACTCAATGTAAAAGGGGTGAAATTAGTGCCCCTTTGTTGTTCACACAGATCACATGGAAATCGAAAGAACACACTATAAGCCAACAACTTTAGCTAAAAGGGATACTCTACTGCCCAAATAAAAATAAAATAAACACTGTTTAGTAGATATACCCCTAATGAAAACATGCATTCATTTAATCATGCATTTTGTTCATTTGGGATATATTTAAAAAGGGGTTGCAAAACATGCAGATCTCTTCTCTGCAGCCTTGGCAAACCTCCCCCCTTCTAATCTAGCCCAGACTTTCTGTGGCTTATCTGCGCTGTACTAGCCTGCTAGAACCTACAGGAGCTTCATATGTGTGAATAAAGTTCAATTAACAGAGTAGGAGATTAGAACTCTTAAAGTAAACAGACTGTGCTGTAAGATCTGATTGAAAATTAAACCGTTTTTGTCACAGCCAGGAAATGTGTGGCCAGGGCTGCATAAACAAAAGTGACATTAACTCCTAAATCGCAGAGAATTTAGCAGTGAAAGAACTGGGGCATGATCTTCATACCAAAACTACTTCATTGCATTAAAGTTGTTTTGGTGCTTAGCGTATATCTAGTAAGTGTCTATTCTCACTAAATAAACATTAATATGTTAAATAGCTCCTTCTGAGCCGAGGTTGGAAATGTATGGACCCCAAATTTGATTATTGTAATCTAAATTAGGTTTTCAATAAACAAAAATTCTTTGTTGGGGGCGAGAGGATAGTGGATTAACCATTAGTTCATTGTTTGATTATCGTTTCTTTAATTTATTAGTAAAGTTGAAAATATGAACTAAACTTTAATCTTCCTGTTTCAAAGAAGTTTCTGTGCACCAGTGATGGTACGTTTGCAGAATTTTGTGAGATTACAATTTCCTTGTTAGCTATATTGTCTGTGATGCTTAGGACCAAGCAAGGTTCACGATGAGTCAACCACGTCTTCTTCATTCCATGACTTCAGTAGATTATTATTGAAAGCTACCAGAGAAGTTTTATAAACTTTAATACAACTTTAATATATGGTGTGCTAATAAAGCAACTTTTAATTAAAAAAATTACTTTAAAAACTGTTAAATGAGTAATTCAGTTAAGACAGATGCAAAATAAACCCTAGTTTGGGTTTTCATTTTCTAGACACATTCAGTGTTACTCACTAATCAAAGGTGCCTTTCGACATAAACCTTGTTGGAGGCGCTAAAAGAATAATACATATTTTAGACTTTCTAGGTTGGACATGGTGGAACAGTACAGGTTATGTCTAATATTTCGTCTGGGAATAATTTACCCAGGGAACCTAGAAATGCTTTGGTATTTTTACTTCGATATATGCAGACAGGTAACACTTCAATTCCTACAAAGTGATACAGACAAATTTTTAGAACTACCTATCACACAATCTTTTAACTTGCTACAACAAGCATTGTTTTTTCTGTAATCTATTAAACACCTGAAGCAACTTTATAAATGTATTTTTTTGAAGAAGGTTCTGTCTTCTTTTTACACATGTCCCAAAAAGGTAGAGTCACAATTAATAAGAGCAATCCGCCTAACAGGACACATATTCCGCAGAAGTAGAATGCAATATGGTACGTCTGTGTCCAGTCGAAGAACCAGCCTGAAAGAGATTAAATAATTACAATTAAGTTAAATGTGAATATGATAATATTCTTACATATGCTCAAAGGCTAAGTCAAACATCATCTTAGCTTTCCATAATGAATGATTACTCCAAATTTTGTTAAACTGTAATAAGATTAAAAAAAAAACAAATCTAAATAATTAATAATATAATAATATCAAAGTTTTTAATCAGAAATGGTTCATTCAGTTTTTCACAGAAACGGCTAGATTTTTTTTTTACCCAACTTTATGGTAATCATGCAAAACTCTACCCATCCTTCTGGTACCTACAAGTTAGATTTATAATTGTTTATTTGTAGCATCAGCTTTTCTGGGATTGCACTTAGGGCCACCCGATAGGCCCGGTCGAGCACCATGGGCCTTTAACAGCACGACGGGGCCACTCAGCATCCTGGGAGGAAGTGAGTGCCTTGAGTCACTTCCTCCCAGAGACTGGAGCTGTGCAAGATGGGTGAGCTGGCAGTGAGGAGGGGGCCAGGCCAGGAGAGAGACGAGCTGTAGAAGGCAGGAGAGGAGGGGGTTAAGGCTGCAAGAGCCAGCCCTTAATTCCTAACATCCTCAGGCTGCAGACTGGAGATCAGGGAAGCCAGTCTCCACACCCAAGCTACGAAACTGGAGGATGGCTATAAAAGAGAATATTTTCACCTGTATGTATATGTGTGTGTCTGTTTGTCAGTATGTATTAATCTGTATGTCTGTCAGTGTGTATCTTTATGTATGTTCATGTATAGTGTGTATCTGTATGTCTGCGTGTGTATCTGTATGTCTGTCAGTGTGTCTGTTATCTGTATGTCGGTCAGTGTGTAACTGTATGGCTATCGTATAACTGTATGGTGGTCAGTGTGTATCTGTATGTCTGTCAGTCTGTGTGAATATGTATGTCCATGTTTGGTGTGTATCTGTATGGCTGTCAGTGTGTATCTGTATGTTCATGTGTGGTGTGTATCTGTTTGTCAGTATGTATGAATCTGTGTGTCTGCAAGTGTGTGTCTATGTGTCTGTGTGTATGTTTTTTGTGTGGTGTGCATCTGTATTTCTGCCTGTCAGTGTGTGTATCTGTATGTTTTTATGCAATCTTATACCTTTATTTGGAAAGTGAGGCGCTAAAAACCTATCTGCGGCCTATTTTAGTTTTGTCCCCTTCCTACTGCCAAGTTGTGCAAGTCTGCACGAACGCATTACTATTATGCATCACCTGCATATCTAGACTTGGACTTTGAGAAACTTGGAATAGTCGAGTCCAAGTTATGCCCAAAAAGGATCCCTCAAAGCCTAACATAAGATATGCTGGTGATGCATAACAATATATTGACTTCAAAGGATATTTAGAAATGTATATGTTACAGTTAAAGTGCAGAAATCAGTTAATGTGCACATTACCTAGTTAGTCTGCAGATAAACTAGGGCGATCAGTTAAAGTGCAGAAAATGATTTTGTTTCCCAAATATTTCTTACATTACTTAGGTAATCTGCAAATTACTTAGATAATCTGCACATTACCTACTAGGCACTCGTTAAAGTGCAAAAAAATAATTCTGTCATCCATCTCTGAGGGGCTCACAGCTCTGGAGGACACCATAGTGTGCACAGGCTGCTGTTCTGTTCTTGTCTGGAGCACATAGTCACATACCTCTTCAAACAGTTATCCCAAACTGGTAAGAAACAAGGAGCCCCCACCACCACAAGAGAGCGAGCGCTTCCTGCACATTAGGCAGCCACACTCTGAAATGATCCCAGCAGATGCTCTCCACTGTTCTCAATATCATCATATATTTGAAGACTGTCGGAATCAGTGGTCCATGAGCAGACCTCTCCTTGGTCTCATTCTCCTCAATGAGAGAAGTATTTCTCAGACTTACGTAGCTGCATTGTTAGTAGCCAGCCCCCTCTGAGAAGCAACAAGCCATGCGTCTATGCTTTAAGAATTTGATGGTGGAGGGCATTGAAAGGAACTTGCTCACAAAAAGAATCGAGACAGGTTCACACAGAATCTTTCTGCCTTCAGACGAGAAGTAAACGACTCTGCAGAGACTGCACTGAAAGGGTGAAACAGGTTCTGCGAGGACGTTTTTGTAATAAATAATTTCTCTTTTACCAAGGGAAAGAAACAAAAATTTAGCACTTTAACTAGACGGAAGCAGTTAATGCAGTTAAAAACTCTGGATTTCGCACTTTAACGGAGCAAATCAGTTAATCTGCAGATTAACTAGGTAATGTGCACATTAACTGATTTCTCACTAACAGTAACCTATACACTAGTAGTAACCTGTGGGGAGTTAACTATATTGAATCTTCCTAGTTTGAATGTTTTTGGCCTTTATTTAATAATTTATTTGTGTATTTATTTCAACTAACTTTTTTTAGTTAAAATTAGCCTAAATTTATACACAAAATGTCTTCTTACTTGCATTAGTTTAGTAACTTACCAACTATTGGTGGCCCAAGGCAATTTCCAACTCCAGCGAAAAACATCAGTACCCCATATGCATGCGTGAGCTTATCTAATCCCACAGTAGTAGTGGTTACATAGGGGAATATTGACCAGTTCCCAGATAAAAATCCTAAAGTCCCAGCAAGAATTGCTAACGTAGCATATGAATTTGCAAAAGGAACTGCAATCAAAGCAACTCCTGTCGCCAACAAGGTAAAAATATATAAATACAATGCATTAATCCACTTGAAATCTGCCAGGATACCCAAGGATAGTTTTCCAATTGCCATCGTGAAACCAATAATTGATACTAGTGGCACGACCATGGAGTCTTCATCAATATTGGCACTTTTTGCTACATCTTCCAATAGCAACGCAGGAGGAAATCCTCCAATGTCAAAAAGCAAAATGGCCACAAAAAGTGCCGAAAATACTTTATTTTTAAATAGATCAACTGTCTTTTCCCAATAATCTAAATAACGATGGCATTTGTTTTTAGCAATCTGTTTGCAAATATTTGTTTCTGTAACACTGTTATTGTAAGTGTCATTTTCTCTAGCGTGTAGAGCACTGACACCGTTCACATTAGAATTCACTGCCTTTTTTCTGTCAGCCGTGGGTGTACAAGTTCTGTTGTTTTCATTGCCTGATAATTTCTCTAGCATACATGTATTTTCTTCAGTGTTCGGTTGTTTTTCATGGTAAATGAGGTAGTTATCTGGAGTTTTCTCTGAGTTTGTCTTCTCCAGTGAAGTTGTGGATGCACATGGCAAAGGTCTCAATAGAATGCCACATGCTAATATATTCAGTGATAGAGCACCAACAATTAGCAAACACCCATCCAATCCATAGATTGATATTAGCTCTTTTTGAAGACCGGCATATATAAAAGTCCCGACACTCGAACCTGGAAATAAAAAAAATACAAGATACTGAGCATGCACAATTATTGACTGCACTCTGAAAGCTGACAGTTTTGTGAGACAGTGAGAAATGAACATGAAAATATGTAAGCTTACATTCAAAAAGCTAATCTTACTGGTTTGGCCAACTTGTAAAAGTCTGCATTAAAAAAACCATCTAAAAACTACATGTGACAATGCTTATTTAAACAGTGGTAAATTAGTCAGCTTTAGTTTAAAAAAAAATAACAACCGGTCAGTACAGATATTGAAAAGTTCAAATAATTTCAATATCTTGAGTTTAACAGATTAATTTTTAGGTCACCCACTCCCCATGGCAAGCCGTTTTTTCACCATTTATTATGGAAACTAAAAAAACTGTTTTCACTTACTGGAACAGTATGGTTTTTGGTTTGAATGCTGTTATCTCCAGAGCAGGATTAATCATAAGGCGACCTTAGGCAGCACCGCCACCTATGGCCACGGGACTAGACAGGATCCAAGAAAGTATTGTGATAAGGTGAATGGGGTGGTCTGTGAGGGAGTTTATATTTCGACTGAATTGTTCAGAGAGGCATATGATTTTTAACCCCAGGGGGAGTGTGTGTTTCTGTGTGTATATAACCGAAATGAATAGTTATGGGCCCCTGGGGTGGAGCATTTGGAGAGCAGGGTGGGCCAGTGCTCCACTCCGCAGTTTAGCGGTTTTCTTGGGAGACATAGATCTAGGCAAGGGTTTTTGGACTGTCTCCAACCCACTGCTCAGCTGCAGGTAATCAGCTGTAGCATTGGGAATAAACCCCTCCCTGCTAGGCAGGTAGGGGAGAATGTTTGTTTTCTCTCTCGAAGAGCTGGCAGCAGCAGGCTGACTAAACACTGGAGTGCTGAAAGCTGACAAAGACACTAGGTTGGTGAAACCAATATTATTTTGTTATAGTTTAACCCCTGAGAGATAGGGGATCTGATGTTAGTGCTCAGACAAGCTAGGTTTTTGTTTATAGGGATTTTGTTACATTATTTTTTTTTCTTCATCTACTGCTGTCTCCTGTGTGGATTACAAATAACATGCTTGGAATTAAGTTCTTTTTAAAGACTGTGCATGTTTGTACCCAAAAGGACCGTGCTACCTGGATCACACTATGTATTTGCTTGCTCTCATTTACCATCCCTATGTAAAGAATGAAGTGTACAGCTGATACGACTCCAGTGTCTTCTGGATGCCAGCACATGCTTATTGATGTTGTGTGTCATCTGTGTCATTTTTTTATGCGATTCTTCCTGTATGGTCTTTGTTTCTCTTGTTGTGGTCTTTGTTTCTCTAAAGTGTATTTTGACTTGTGCTGTAATACTGATTTTGACTGATAATACATTCTTTTTATAGTAAAGGATACTTGTTGCCCTCTGGCTTATGTGTTGGGGTGTTGATCCTTGACAGCCCTAAACTGGTAACCTGCTAAGGGACTCGTGGAATCTTAATCCTTATTTGGTTATCTCGCTCAGCACACTGTAGTTTAGCATCCCAACTTCAGCAGGTTGTATTAATTAACTGTGTTTGCAGATTTAATGTAGCTTTATATGTGCTGACATTCAGGGGGAGGTTGTCAAGGGGGGCAATTGACCATATATTGCTTACACGGTGTAAGTAGGATCATCTCAAGGGCACCGAATACTCGTAACTTTTTACATATAATTCACATGTTGCTTCTTTTACCCATTGAGTGTTTTGTAATATTTGATTATGACAAACATCTCACCTGTTGAAATGATTCCCAAGGCAAGTCCTCTGCGTTTATCAAAATACTGACAAGTAATGGTCACAGTTGCGGTATATAACAGGCCACATCCAAAGCCTAAAGGCGGAAACAGAAATATACATTTGTACAGAAATATGTACTTTGCAAACATCACTCATAACAACATATATGGAGCATGTAAAAAATAAAATCCCTATAAATAAATAAAATAATAAATATCAACAGATCAGAATCAAGTATACATGCCTTAATATGAGATTGGGAGTCTGTAGGTAATGTGCACATAGCTGTTACAAATTACAACTTCACTCACACTTTTCCTTTTTCCCGCTGGATCTGGTCAGCAGGTAACAGGTTTACTAATATCTGGTTTAATAGATCACCTTCTTTAGTCCTTAATTTCGCTCCTGTGAAAGTGTTTAAATCTAGACTTTAAATTAAAAGTTGTGGACTCAATGTCGACTCACCATAGGTTTCTATTGGGTCTTTTGATCATTAGTAAAGTTAAACATAGATTAAATTATTTTCACTTTGTTTCAAAAAAAGTTTATTTGGCTGTTGACTGGTAACTTTGGCACTAGATAGATTTGTGGATTTAATTTTCCTTGATTTTCAATGAGCGGCGTCGACGGGTAGGGGAGTTGCAGCGGTGCTCGAGCCCCAAATGTGTTGGCCTATAGCCCCAGATCTTTTTTCCCCTCTATGCAGGGCTGTTTTTAATTATGGAAATTTACAGGGTTATTCAATAAAGTGAGAATTGTTTTTCAAAACTAAGGCCAGAATAGCCAAATTGGAACAATTCTCCAAGTCAATTCTGTTTTCATTTTGGCGTCAAACTTGAAATTCACTTTCAATTCTCACTTTAGTGCATATCCGGTCAGTTAACTTCTTTGCGCCCAACTCTTTGCTTCATAACTGGGAGAGAGTTAATTTATAAGTTATACAAATAGCAACGTGGTAGAGTTCTAAAAAGGAGCAATTCCTAAGGAAGCAAGAGCAATCATTACAAACGCTTTGCTGTATTTATTTCCATGGTGATGTATCTATCCCTATCGCTTATATTGGCAATTTTATAAATATCCCCCAATTAAATTATATTTCCTGTAACTTTAATAGGAAAACATTACTGTTCAGTGATGGTGCTTAATTTCAGTTTTACTTGTCAAGCTATTTTTTCTTATTTCTCAAGAAAATAAAAGTCTCTTACCAACCATAAATCCATAGGAGAAATAAAGGAAATACAGACTGGGAGCAAAACTGCTCAAGATAAGTCCTGCAGCCACCAAAAAGGAGCTGAAGATTGTCACTGGGCGAGCTCCAAACGAGGTCACACTTGCACTGCACAATGGACCTGCCAAGAAAAATTTAAACAAAATAAAAAGATAAACAATTTAATTAGAGGCAAATCTATATCTTTATTGATCAGCTATAAACTATATTGATTTTCTTTCCATTCCATACACTTGTTGAATAATCTATTACACAACAGAAGAATGTATGTTGCAGATTGAGATGTGATAACGGAGCTGTTCTGTAACATAAGGTGCTTTCACACAAGCCTAGCACTTGAACACCGATAAGAACTGCTGGTTGAATCTAGTTTGTCAATTTTCTTTTATGCATTTAAAATAGCCGGCTAAGTAGAATCGCGAACCTTCCGATTTGATTATAGCGGTTTTCAATCTGTTTCTCAAATTAAATTTTGAAGTTGGTCTCCACCATCTTTATAAAGCACATGATTTCTTACTGCTTAATGCATCGTCTCTATCACTTCCTGGGACCTTAGGGATGCAGGTTTTTTTTTTCCAAAAAGAGTGTCTTTTAGGAAAGAGTGTGTACATTAAACTAGATCACAATAAAATTATTAGTTCACTAAAACTTTATAAATTTCCAGGATATCTTTGTTAATTATTTTCACCACAAATGAAAGCACCTTATAGTTTGGCTGAATGAAATGGTTTGTTTGTTGTGTTGTAATTGCTACAATAAATTCTTTTGTAAAACCCCTTATATCTCTGCTTGCAATGGAGAAGTAGGAGCATTGGTATTTTGGTTTACCTGGAGCCATCTGGTGGCAATACTTTAAATAGCCCAAAGACTGCTTTCACTACCATTATCATTCGCTTGTCTAACGCATTGCAAACTGGCGCAGCTCATTCATTGTATGTGACTTTTGATCAAAGAACAACAATTCTAATAAGCATTTGGAATATGGTAAAGAAAATACAGAAATATCCGTACAGATAAATGTCCGTATAGAACCTAAAGACACTTGAATGCCCTCAACACCAAGAATGTGTATAAATTAGTACATTTGTTGCTTTGTTCACTCAGTAGTATTATTAGAGAAAATGATATGCCCATCCAACGAAAAAGATTATCTTGCCTTCTGTATATGATCAGAATCCAAATAATGACGACATCATTTCAAAGCATTATGATTCAAACAAGACCTGCCAGTGGGACGTGAATTTTTTGGGAAGTTCATATTAGTTTTTTGTCCATCCATCTGATACATGAAAAAGTAGCTAAATCACTTGTGTAATGGCTGAGCATCTTACTTTTGTATTGCGAAACTGAATATGAACTTGTGATACCAAAAGCAGAGATGATTGACACAGTAGAAAAAGATGAGGATGGGTGGCTGGGGACAGACCATTAACTTTAACGTGTCAAGAAACAGTATTTCATTTCCACTAGGTTTATTCTGCTTACAATTACTAATATAAAAAAAAACAACAAAGGATGTTAAAAGATGATGGATGTTTAACAGCAGATGTTAATTGCTGGACTCAGAAAGGGCGAGAGAGAGTCGTCAAAGTCTGAGAACAGACGGATCATAAGCCTCATGGTCATTTGTCTACTATTCTTTATAGGTATGACCATAAAGACGTCAGACCTTTGAGCTAAAACGCTGCCCATATAGTGAGGGGGGAAAGTATTTGATCCCCTGCTGATTTTGAATGTTTGCCCACTGACAAAGAAATGATCAGTCTATAATTTTAATGGTAGGTGTACTGTAACAGTGAGAGACAGAATAACAACAAAAAAGTCCAGAAAAACGCACGTCAAAAGTAATAAATTGATTTGCATGTCAATGAGTGAAAAGGGTGTTTGACCCCTTCGACTTAGTACTTGGTGGCAAAACCCTTGTTGTCAATCACAGAGGTCAGACGTTTCTTGTAGTTGGTCACCAGGTTTGTACACATCTGAGGAGGGATTTTGTCCCACTCCTATTTGCAGATCCTCTCCAAGTTATTAAGGTTTCGAGGCTGACGTTTGGCAACTCGAACCTTCAGCTCCCTCCACAGATATTCAATGGGATTAAAGTCTGCAGACTGGCTAGGCCACTCCAGGACCTTAATGTGCTTCTTCTTTAGCCACTCCTTTGTTCCCTGGCTGTGTGTTTTGGGTCATTGTCATGCTGGAATACCCATCCATGATTAAGACAGTCTTAACTCTGCAATTTTACATTGCAGTTTCTCTGAAACTACAATATTTTATATTGCAGTGCTAAGGTGGTCAGTGACATTGCACCCAGAACACATCAATGAGATGAAGTGATCTGGGTGCCTATAGTGTTCCTTTAAAGGGACACTATAGTCACCAGAACAGCTACAGCTTGTATTTATTCTGGTGAGTATAATCAGTCCCTTAAGGCTTTTTGCAGTGAACACTGTCTTTTGAGAGAAAAGGCAGTGTTTACATTGCAGCCGAGGGATATCTCCACTGGCCTCTCCTCAGATGGCTATTAGAGACGCTTCCAGGGTCAGTGCTGCACAGTGTGACTGACATTCAGTGTATCCACCCTCTGCATGGAGACACTGAACTTTCCTCATAGAGATGCATTGATTCCATGCATCTCTATGTGAAGATGCTGATTGTAAATAACACTTCTGATGATGTCCACCAAGGAGGCAGATCAGGACCAGAGCCAGCATCAGCAGACTGCAATAAAGGTTTACTATATTTAGGGGGACCAGGAGGGCTAGGTGGTGGTTTTAACAATATAGAGTTAGGAATACATGTTTTATAATGTTCCTATAAGATTGTAGTTATGTCTGGATCAGATATGTGAGCATGACCAGTACTTTCTCTTAAATCCCAATTAGTTTTTGTTCATTTTATTTATTAACTGTATTTTTAAATATATTATAATGTTTGTTTCACTAACTGTTCCTTTAAGCATCTCAGTAAATGTTTGCACTGCATAAATTCTTGCCAAGATTAGTTTGGGTTATCTTAGGAATTAGAAAGGATTTTTTGCTAAGATTCTAAAGAATAGAAATTGCAACAGCAATACATTTTCAGTTCTGTGTATTTCTGAAAAACTGCTTACTAACAAAAAAAACCCCAAGTAAATTAAAAGAAAAAAATAGGTTATATTAGAAAAAATAAATAAATATATCCAAAAAGAAATACAAGTCTACAAATGTTAGTGAGTGCATGAATGCAGGGGTGTTTATGGAACCACTTTGTCTCTGTATATTTCCTATGAATGACACTTCTAGACACTAGACGGCAGAGCTCCGCTTAGTGTCTAGAAGTGTCATCCCCCAGTGATGGCTGCAGGGAATCTGCTTTACCTATGGAGGATCCCATGGTCTTGCATGCGCTCTGTGTGAAAGTACTGCAGTGACATTAGCTCCTGACTCTTAAGCACCTAAACACAATCTGCCGGAAAAAGATAGCGGTGTCCACTACGAATAGGTTCAGGTAAGTAGAACTCACCTTTGCTTGCCCCACCCCCTAGCCACCAGACCCCCAGCAGAGATGTCACCATTAGGAATTTTTGCAAAGTCCCCAGACTGTGACAACGGGGCTTTAAGACCCACACCACTGTTTGTTCTTTTCTTTTTAGTGAGTGCCAATGCCTCAATAGGTGTTAGGTACAGGCTTGGAACGTTTTAGATCACATTCCTTTAGGTTTAAGATGTTGTTTTGAACTAAGCATGTTTAGATACTGTGTCAGGATCAGAGACATCGATTGACTTTGGGTTAAGAAACATTATAGACCTTAATAATTTAGTCATGAGACACGTAGGCCATGATTCAGAGATATAGACTAATCTATACTTTTTTTTTTTTTGCACTTTAGGTACCAGTCAACTGCGTCTGGATTTATTAATTATGAAGTCATGAATATTACATAAACGACTTCAAGTGAAGTCATTCTAGAGGTACTGTACGATAATTTGGGGTTAAAGTAGGATACCGTTAGCATTTACAGCTTTTGTGTATCCAGCAACCACTTCTTGCCAAGGGCATATAATACCTAAATATTTATACTGGTTTTCTCAAAACAATGCACCTTCTAAGAAGGAAATTATGTTAACGATCTTATCGCAATCTATGTTCCCGATCTGCAAACTACAAAAAAAAAGATATCCTTAAAATGAAATGTAAATAATGTCACTCACGTTTTCCTTTGAAAGGAAATGCTATGAATATATTTATATGATTATATCCGGCTGGAACATTTGACATACATTTATTTTTTTTTGTCTCTGGACTCTGTAAAGAAACAGGACCAAATTGTTAATAGACTATTTGGTCATTCGCTTAACTGAGAGTTATGAGAGACCGACTAGGGAATTGCCAAAACTTTGGCAAAATAGGCAATCGGAGACAGTTTTTTATGATTGCTTGCAGGATGCAGAGTAGCACGTGAAACTAGGTCAGCATGGCAATTATGAACCTTATTCACTAAACACTACATTGTAGTGAAAAGAATGACACATTCCAAAAAGTAGACTGAGATAGCCAAGATGTCTATTTTCTAAAGTGGATTTGGAGGATCTTCCCAAATCAATAATTTTTGCCTAATGCTGCTAGTGAATTCACTGAATAAACTCCATTCATTAACTTGAGAAATTTTAACTACACCCTTCTACAAGTTTATTTTTTTAAAATTAGTTAAGTGCAATATCACTTACCTGACTGAGGGGTGTATCTGTTTCTTACAAAAAATTGTGTCACTGAATGCAGATTCTACCAAAGTTCCAGAATATTACCCAAGGTTTTTATCTAGCTGTAATATAGTCTAAAACCAGGCACTTGTGTTTCAAGGGACATTATGGTTTGCATTTATGTAGTGCTGTATGCAATGCAGTTGCAGTTTTTTTGGATGCATTTGTTTGCATTTTATTTTCTTGCAAGATTTGTTTGGCAGATTATCAAGGATGTAAATGTAATTTTGCATACATTATCAGTATAGGAAAATGTTAAGAATATCAAACCCCTAAACCTACATTGGGCTTTATTATTTAATTATAAGCAAATGGAAATGGGGAATCTGCACTCTTTTGGCAATAAATACATAATATTCTGGCTCACCAATGCCAAGGCTATTGGCCGTCCTCTGTGGCACATGACATGCAAGTGTAGGCCCCATTGTCGCAGGGTGAGTATGCCTTAGTTACATGCCTACTGGTTGTTTGAGGACTATTCATGTCCAACATGATTATACCCCAATGAAATGGGGACCCATGCCCATTGCAAAGGTGATACTGCCAGTAGTTAACCATATTCTCTAAATTTTCCCACATCTCATGTGTATTGAGTATATTATTGATAACCATTCACTGGGTCCCTTGTAGTTAGTGGGGGTCCATTTCCAACACCACCACATTATTTAGAGATTAGCTGATTTGGAGATTAATTTTTCCCCAAATGTGTAAAACTGAGACCTTAGTTGTCAGTCATATACCATAATAAAGCAACTCTCTAACATGATCACAAAACTTAACAGCCTGAACTTCTTTTATCCATAAGTAAATATACAACAAAACATATATAATCAGGTTTGTTATATTCACACTCTGGATTACTCTTCTACCAGTGAGGTTACGAGGTGAACATGTTTTGCAGATCACTGCAGTTCAAAGTATCTGTTATCAACCTTAAACCAGAAGGAAGGAATACATAAAGCAATGTAGCCTGTTAATCTTTACAGGAAAGTTTAATAATAAAAACATGCAGTCACTGAATGTTCTTCCTTGGGGTTAAAGGGATTCTCTAAGCAACAAACAACTTTATCTTAAAGGAATACTATAAGGTCAGGAATACAAACATGATATGTTACTTATCTTTAATTCAGCCCCAAATTTGCCTCCTTGAATCAATGCATCTCTATGGGGAAAGTTCAGCATCTCCATGCAGAGCATGAAGACGCTGAACGTCAGTGCTGCACATCTTAATGACTGCCACTTGAGGTGTCCCTTTTATTTAAAAGGCAGTGTTTACCTGAAAATGCCTGCAGGGGCATACTATACTCACCAGAAGAACTACATTAAGCTGTAGTTGCTCTAGTGACTATAGTGCCCCTTTAAGTGGTTTTGGTGTATAGATCATACAGTCTCACTGCTCAATTTTATCATTTGTAGGATTTAAACTGCCTAGTTTATGTAACCCTAATTACACCTCCCCTGGCTGAGGCTCATACAGCCTCCATACAAAGTTTCTAAGAGTCTAAATTGTTTAGCTTATGTTATTGCACAGTATGTTTAATTTAGAATGTCTTATCTCCTTCTCTGTTAATAGCCTACTAGATCCCGCAACATCAGAGCATGTGTTCGTGTGTATGTGTGTATGATTTTGATTTACAGGGACACTATAGTCACCAGAACAATTACAGCTTTTTGTAGTTGTTCTGGTGAGTATAGTCAGTCTCTGCAGCATTTTTTCAGAGAAAAGGCAGTGTTTATATTGCTCCCTAGAGACACTTCCAGTTGCCACTTCTCAGACAGCCACTAGAGGTGTTACCTGGGTCAGTGCTGATTGGCCAACCTGGCTTTGGCCCCGCCCCCTATGGGAAAGCATTGCATTGTCTGAGATCATCAATTCTGTTTATGTCAGCCAAGGAGGCAGATTGGGGGCGGGGCCAGCACTGGTGGAACTATGCAGCGCTGGAAATATGGTGAGTAAACTACTTATTAAGGGGGGCAAGCCTATGGTGCTGCTTTAAGTTCAGTAGAGCAGGGGACACGAACTTCTAAAGTAAACACACTTTTCTATAATATCTCATTGAACATTAAACTATTTGTTTATTTGAAGATGTGTGAGTCACAGACAGAGGAGGTGTGGCTAGAGTGTATAAACAAAGTGATTTAACTCCCAAAAGGCAGATAATTGAGAAGTGTGACTGCAGAGGCAAGATCGTTACACCAAAATTACCTAAACTAAAATTGTTTCATTGCTTACAGTGTCCCATTTAAAAACCCTTGTTTTTTGACACTTTGCAGAATGCACAAAATAAAAAATAAACAACTAGCATTCATCAGTGTGCATAAACTGACACAGATACATATTGGATGCAACCATGATTCATATCATGCATGAATCATGGTTGCAAAAATTAATTGTATCTATTAGCATAATTCACTAAAGAGAGAACTGTCAGAAATTCTAAGTGAATTTCAAATTTTAGCCCAAAGTAGTTGAACTGGTAGCATAGCTGATTTGGAGATGTATTCCAATACAGCTAGCCTTTAATTTGTATTCACTGTGACCTTCGATTGCTGAATACTTCAAGGGGTACATTGAATTTATGTTTTATTGGTTTTAATATTTGTTTATTGCTTTTAATTTAATATCAAAATATCAACAGGGCTATTTACTAAAGTGAGAATTCACAGTAAATTCAACAAAAATTTTAAATTTAAGCATAGAAAAGCCAAACTGAAAACATAGCTAACTTTTCTCTAGTTCAGTTTTTTAACTTTAAATTTGAACTTCACTTGGAATTCTCACTTAAAGGGACACTATAGTCATCACAACAACTACAGCCTGTTGCATTTGTTCTGGTGAGTAGAATCATTCCCTTCAGGCTTTTTGTAAACACTGTCTTTTCAGAGAAAATGCAGTGTTTACATTACAACCTAGTGATAACTTCACTGGCCATTCAGTATCTCCTCCCTCTGCATGCAGACACTGAACTTTCCTCAGAGATTTATTGATTCAATTCATGAGGAGATGCTGATTGGCCAGGGCTGTGTTTGAATCGTGTTGGCTCTGCCCCTGATCTGCCTCCTTGACAGTCTCAGCCAATCCTATGGGGAGGCATTGTGATTGGCTCAGACCACCACTTCGGCCCCTGTCAGCAGACAGGGGCAGAGCCAACAGCTACATACTTGAATACAAGTAAGAAGTTACTATATTGGGGGGTGGAAGGCGGCTCGATGGTGGTTTTAACACAGTAGTGTCAGGAATACATGTTTGTGTTCCCTACCCTTAGTGTTCCTTTAAGCGAATAACCATTTTGCAACTGAGATGGGTTTGTACTGTGTGGATTAACAATATACAGTAACACAGAGCATGTGGTTTTATTATCAGAGAATACACACATTACCGCAGCACAATTATTTTAAAACAAATAAATTACCAACGTAATGGCTACCACATCTACAGGATGGCAGGAATCATTTTGTTAAAATATACATTGTAATTTAACCCATTTATAACGATATTTTTATTGCTATAATTTGCTAATGAACACTACCAAGCAAATCGCACATAGACATTTTCTGTTTTGCTAGGCTTGCTTTTTTGTGTTTAGCTTTTTTGTTGCTTTTTTATTTAAATTCTGCTTATAGCTATATGTTTGTATATTTACATAATCTAGAGAACCCTTCATGTAAAAAATTAGCAAAAAATATCAGCCAGATAAATGTATCAGTAAGTAACACGATTTGTTTCACAAATGCAATTATGGACAGCCAATCTATCTTTCCACAACAGCAGAAAGCATCGGTCTGCTATTACCATGACCATAATGAAGGACTTGCATACATTACTAATGAGGGTTAGCATAGAGAACACATCCAAACCTTTCTTCCCTGCTAATCGGGGCAGTTTATATGAATCACTAAGTTCAGAGGACAGGTGTGCAGCAGTAAAACTACTGATACGAGCACTGATATGTTTCACAGCTGACGTACTCTGGATATCTATTTACTTGAGACCTACTCTTAGATAGCAGATTTAAGTGGATAAAGGATTTTGCCAGCATAGCAATACTCCAAATATTGGTAGATTTCAACGATTTCATTTGTGTGCTGTTTGACTTTCAGTGAATGAGTTACATATGTCTCAAAGGCAAAAGAATTACAAAGCAAAAAAGTATATTATCTCAGTCACTTAATTTACTTACTTGCCAGAAGCCCAAATCCAGCGGCCAAAGACCCAACCCAGGCCGTCTTCCCTTTGCCTTCTTCGAAAACATCCAACCATTCAACATAGAGCACTCCAACAGAAAGGGGAGAACCATAGCACAGAAACTGGATGAAGAATGAGATAGTAACGATAATCCAGCCCCATCCTCCATCTGGGGGTTTCTGGTACGACATTTCTAAATGTGCTGTTGTTTAAAGCTCTGTACAGGGGAAAAAAAGTAACATTTAACAGATTTGTTCTGCACACAACAAAAAAATAAACTACAAAAGATGGAGAAATGCATGGATGGATGGACGAATGGACACATAAACATGTCGGAGAGAATGAACCTGACTACTGAATGCATTTGGGGTTTAGTATCAATAGAAGACTCTAGACTAAAATGCATAGAACCCAATCTTGGGTTACTGTCTCTTAATCCAGAAAATGAATAGTTATTCCCAAGACACTGTCTAAAATATCTCACAACCTCTGAAGGCAAGCTTTTTGGCAACTTACTGAGTTATGATCACAGCCTTGAGGAGAACCAGATGTTCCTGCAAGGGGTTTTTGTTAGACTAGAGTTCAGTTTTGGGCCAGCTAATTGGCTGCGAGTGTCCGTTTAGTGTTCCCAGCCAATGAGCTAAGCCTTGTACTGCTGGGCTAGCTCACTGAAGAGGAGGAGGTGATCAACGATTGGTAGACTCCAGGTAAGTTGTCAAACTGTATGCAAACAGTAGGGTGCCGGAACATTTCTATAACACTTCTACAACAGTAAATTAGTAAATCTGCTTCACTTGAAAGGGTAAAAACAAAGCAGGTTTTTTTCCCTGTGCTGCTACTGAGTTAATTAAGGCAGTGGTCCCTTAATTTCCACCTGTATGGGTTTTTGTATAACAATATAAACCCATAGCTTACTCATTGAGCTGGCTCACTTGGAGTTGCATAAAAGTAGTCTTTTTTTAAGTAGGCTATTTTTCTCTAAAAGTTGAAATCCAGGAGTTCCCTTGGAGACAAACAAAATTGTGGACAGAGGTTGTTATTATCTTTTTAATCTGTACATATGCATACATTGAAAAGGTTAAAAAGCAGTCTTGTTTTTTTGTTTTTTGCTGTGTGCTGCTGAGTTAATTAGGGTAGTGGTCTCTTAATTTCCACCTGTGGGTTTTTGTATAACAATATAAACCCAGAGGCTGACTCTTTGAGCTTGCTCACTTGGAGTTACATAAAAAGGTGTCTCTTTTAAGTAGGATATTTATCTGTAGGAGGTTGTTTTCTGGTAATTGCGGTAATGGGTGTTCACAATATTGAAGGTTTGACTCAGGGCATATCTTGCCACATTTATGCATGCTTGGATGAATTCGTCCAGGGTCTGTACCCCTGTGGCAGGTGTGAGTGAGTGGATTCTCTGGAAGATTGTATTGGAGATCTGGAGAGGCAAATTGCAAAATTGATACAGACTGACAATCTTGAGAGGGGTCTGCTTTAGTGGGGGCCTCTAATGGAGTGGGATGAGATAAGACAGCTGGGGAACAGGCCCATCACTAGGTAACACTATTACATGGTAGCAGGGGGTGAGGGAAGAAGAAAGGTTTAGCTCAGTGATTCCCAATCCAGTCCTCACAACTCCCTACAAGTCCAGAATTTAGGGCTTACAATGTTGTGTCTAAGGTGTTTTTACAAAGAACAAAAAAACACCTTAGACACAACCAAATCCCTATATCCTGGACTGGGGGGGGCGGGAATAGGGGAGAGTTAGGAGGGGTGGAGGGGTAAGGACAGGTGTGGGAACCATTGGTTTAGTTAGTTCTGACCTTGTGCAACCTAACACATTTGCCGTTTGAGTGAAGATGTTGGGAGCATCAGCATGGATGGACGAATGGAGGAAGCTGTTCCTTCTAACTATCGGGGGTACAGACCCTCTAGCTGAGTTTGAGAATGTAAGAAACGCTAGAGAGGTTGTGGTGGTAGGGGACTCTATTGTTAAGAGTAGAGAGGGTAATCTGACACTCTGACAGCCTCAACCAGACAGTTTGCTGTCTCCCGGGTGCTAAGGTCCAGCATGCTGCTGACAAGTGTGGATGAATTATTGGGGAGGGCTGGGGATGACCTAGCTGTCATGTTTCATTTTAGTACCAATGACAAAGCCAGAGTAAAATGATCCTAAAGACTGAGTTCAGAGAATTAGGAAGTAAATTGTAGAAAAGGACCACCAGTATTTTCAGAAATATTTCCTGTGTCGCACGCTACAGTAGAAAGGTAGCAGGAGATTAGGGAGGTTAATGCGTGGCTAAAGTCATGGTGTAGGAAGGAGGGTTTTGGCTTTTTAGAGCACTGAGTTGATTTTTCGCTTGGGTACAATCTTTATAGCCGTGATGAATTGGACCTAAATGGAAGAGTGTCTGCTGGACTGAGGGACAGGATGGTTAGAAGGTTGGAGGAGATTTTCAACTACTGGTGGGAGGGGTTGTGGCAACAGAAAACCACAAAATTGAGATAGGACAGAAAGGAGATGGGCTTTATGGGGGGAGATGGGGAGAGGCAAGATCAGAATAGAGAAGGTATGTGATAGTAATCAAATTCACATCAAGTACAAGTGACTCATGATAATATTAAATGCATGCTTACTAATGCATGGAACCTAAGTAACAAAATGGAGGAACTAGAGGCAATAGCATACACTAAGCAATATGATGTAATAGGCATAACAGAAACATGGTGGGATGAGACACATGGCTGGGCAGTTAACTTAAATGGTTACACATTGAATATTGAATACTCAATAAATACTATCCTAGCAACCTACTTTTCTACCCCACCCTTACCTTTTGTGTCACTATACCCCACTCCCTCTAGCTTTGTAAGCTCATTGAGCAAGGCCCTCAACCCCTCTGTTCCTGTGCATCCAACTTGTCTGGTTACAAATACGTGTATTAGTCCACCCATTGTACAGCGCTATAGAACTTGTTGGTGCTATATAAATAATAATAATAATAATAATAATAATTATTATTATTATTATTTAGGAAGAAAAGAAAAAAACAGGAAAAGTGGTGGCGTATGTTTGTATGTCAACCATGAGTTAAAGCCAAATTTTAAGCGAGTGGAGTGTGACGAGGAAAATGTGAAAGCTTTATGGCTAGATATCTGCTTGGGGCAAAAGAAGGAATATCATTTATTGGTTGGGATATGGTATAAACCATCTAGAGGACACAAACACTTTTGAAAAAGGCTTACTTTGCTGAAATGCATCAAGTGAGGTGGACTATATGTCTTTTTAATTTATGAGATTTAATGTTTTAATAGTGCTTTAATAAATTGTTACCCTTATATTTAACTTGTATTCTGGAGTTGATGCGACAACAAGTCGCTTGAAGTCAAGTTGGGAACTGCACTTAATTGATCTCTAAGGACCATCCACTTCATCCTTCTATTGTCAAGGCTTCTACGTCTGAGCCAGCTATTTGAGTGGCTCAGTACCATGTCAGTGGGACCATATATGGGCTTTTTTTAAGATCTGTGATTTACTGTGTCACCCTATGGTCTTCTTTGTATGTTTTATATTACAGGTGTTTTATATTTTACAGCAGATGGTAATTTTATCTATTTGTGTGCTTTCGCTGTTTTTATTGATTACTTTGCACTTTATGTGTGTGTTTTGGGGAGAATACATAGGTGATAGTAGCACCAACTGTAATATCCTTCATGAATCCTCATATTTATTTTATAAACCTATGGTTAATATTGATGAGGAAGAACAGCTGGTAAAGCACATTGGGAAAGCTGCACATCTGGGTAGCACATTAATTATTGGAGATTGTAATTATCCAGACATAAATTGGGATAGAAGGACTTGCAGTTCAGCAAAGGGAATCAGGTTTTTGAACATATTAAATGACACCTTCATATTACAACGGGTACAAGCACCAACTAGAAAGGATGCTTATCTGGATTTGGTTATAACAAACCATGTTGATCTCTTGACCAACATTCAAGTAGGGGAGCAATTTGGAAATAGTGATCACAGTATGGTATATTTTGAAATACACTCAAAAAAGCAAAAGCACATGGGGTGTACTAAAGTACATCATTTAAAAAAAGGCCAATTTCAGTAAGATAAGGACAGCTTTACAACATGTCGATTGGCATGCAACACACGGCACAAAATGAACAGTTAAAACAACTGCTCATAATAGCAGGAGCTCATACAATAGAATAGGATTGTAAGTTAATTGCAGTAAAATGTCCCTAGAATAAAAAAATAAAAAATAAAAAAACCTTATGAAAAAGCAACATAAAAAATTATCAAAAGACCAGGAACGAATAAAACTAGATATAAATACATATATATATATAAATCAGTCCAATTTAAATAAGTCCCACTGTAAAGGTTATTTAGCAGCAGGGATAGTGTAATGCTGATACAATGCAGCAAACTGTGCCTGGTGCAACTGAGAATAAATTGTAGCTACAGTAAAGATACACTGTTACTCTATAATATTAGGTAGTAAAAAAAAAAATATCAAACAGGAAGCCTTTTAAAAATGCATTGGATAATTATGTACAGTCCTTCTTTTACTAGCTGGGTACTATAATATAGAGCAATAGTGTATCTTTACTGTAGCTACAATTTATTTCTACTCCATAGCTCTAAGCACCGTTTGCTACATTGTGTCAGTATAACACTAGCTCGGCTGCTCTATAAATGACTTTTCAATCGGGACTTATTTAAATTGGACTGATCTATATATAGGTTTTTATATTCAGTTTCATTTGTTCCTTGTCTTTTTATAATAATTTTTTATGTTGCTCATTTTTAAAGGTATTTTTTATATTCTAGGAGCATTTTACTGCAATTAAATTACAATCCTATTCTATTTTACCATCTAATGGTCCCCTGAGCAGTTGTTAATTTATATATATTTTTTCTTACTGACTGTTTATCACTATTTAGATATTGACTGGCATACATTCTTTGGTGAAGCACTGAGGGATAAATGGAATATCTTCAGACAAATATTAGAAAAGTACATTTCTCAGTATGTACCATTTAAGTAATACATATAAAAGAAACAAATTGAAAACTATGTAGCTTAGTAGGAAAGTAAATCAAGAAATTAAAAAAGTAAAAAGGGCACTTAAAGGACCACTATAGGCACCCAGACCACTTCAGCTTAATGAAGTGGTCTGGGTGCCAGGTCCATCTAGGTTTACCCTGCCTGATGTAAACATAGCAGTTTCAGAGAAGCTGCTATGTTAATGAATGGGTTAATCCAGTCTCTAGTGGCTGTCTCATTGACAGCCGCTAGAGGTGCTTCCGCGCTTCTCACTGTGATTTTCACAGTGAGAAGACGCCAGCGTCCATACGAAAGCATTGATAATGCTTTCCTATGGACTGACTGAATGCGTGCATGGCTCTTGCATTCAGCCGAAGAGGGAGGAGAGTCCCCAGCGCTGAGGGAGCCCGGCGCTGGAGAAAGGTAAGTGTTTACCCCTTCCTCATTCTAGAGCCTGGCGGGAGGGGGGCCCTCAGGGTGGGGGGGACCTAAAGACCATATAGTGCCATGAAAACAAGTTTGTTTTCCTGGCACTATAGTGGTCCTTTAAATCATATAAATCAGAGGCAGCCTATATGAGATATAAAGAGGCCAATAATGCATGCAAAAAGTAAATTACATTGGCTAAGCTAGAAAAGGAGAACGTGATAGCTGAAGAGAATAAAACCAAATCAAAAAAAATGTTTTAAGTACATAAATTCTATAAAAACAAAACAAAGAGAGTATAGGTACACTTTTTTCCATTAACTATTTTTCCTCTGCATGGAGGATCTGAACTTTCCTCATAGAGATGCATTGATTCAATGCATCTGTATGAGGAGGTGCTGATTGGCCAAGCCGGCATTTGGCCCCGCCCCATCCCCCTCCTTGCTGATTACAGCCAATCCAATGCTTACTCCATTGGATTGGCTGAAATTCTGATGATGTCAGCAAGGAGACAGATCAGGGGCGGTGCCAGCGCCGGCTGACCCGCGCTGCACTGGGAAGAAGGTACATTTTATTACCTTTTAAGGGGCTCAAAGGGGGGCAAGGGTGGTTTTAGCTCTATAGGGTCAGGAATACATGTTTGTGTTCCTGACCCTATAGTGTTCCTTTAAGGAGGAAGAGATATGTAAATGATTTCTGCAAAAAAACTTGCAGAAACATTGTGATTGATGACTCAAAACAAGGTGCTGCAGCAAATAAGAAAGTTAATTAGTACTTAAGGAGCCAAGCGTGGAAATAAGTGAACCTCTGTTTTTAATCTTTCAAGATTGTACCGGAGGATTGGAGGAAGGCAGACATGGTTCCTATATTCAAAAGAGGTTCTAAATCTCTGCACGGAAATTATAGACCTCTTAGCTTGACTTCTGTGGCTGGGAAAGTATTTGAAGGGTTATTAAGGCATAATATTCAGGAATTAATTGGGAAGCATATAGTTATTACCAGGTCATATTCAACTAACTTAATTGCATTTTACAAAGAAATAAGTAGAAGTAGAGATCCAGGTGTTGCAATGGATGTGATCTACTTAGATTTTGCCAAGGTGTTTGATAACCTCACAATAGATTAGTGTTCAAACTAAAAGAAATTTTTCTAATTGAAAATTATTGTTCTTGGGTAGAACATTGGCTTAAAGATAGAGTGCATAGAGTTGTCAATAATGGTAAATATTCAAGCTGGACAAAAGTGGTATGTGGTGTCCCTAAGGGTTCTGTTTTGGGACCGCTTCTATTTAACATATTTACAAATAATCTTGAAATAGGAATCGAAAGTCATTTTTCAGTGTTTGCAGATAAAACAAAACTCTGCAAAGTAATACAATGTGATCAGGATATAACTTTGCTCCAGAGTTTTTTAGATTGGGAGAATTGGCACTCAAAAGGCAGATGACATTTAACATAGCAAATTGCAAAGTTATGCATATCGGTGTAAAAATGCAAAAGTAACTTACACCGTATATCATAGTGAATTATGGATAACAACACCTGGGAAGGATCTGGGAAATGTTATAGACCACAAACTAGAAAGCAATGCACATTGTCGATCAGCAGGTGCTAAGGTCACTAAGGTATTGTATAAAAAGGAGTAATAATTCTCAGGATTAAAATATAATTTTGCCTGTGTATACATGGATGGAAAGGAGGAAGAGAGGCATGGATAGAAGGATGAGAGAGATATGCAAGAGGATATAAAAGGGAGACAAGGAGGGTCGAGAATGGAAAGAAGGGGGAGGATATGGAAGGAAAGGGGGGAGAGATATGGAAGGAACAGGGGGAAGACATGGAAGGAAAGGGTCAAAGAGATGTGGAACTGGGGTGGGTACAATATCTAGAGCTCTGGGTGCAATTTGGTGCTGTGGAAAGGGGACGTAAGAGTGAAAAGGGTGCAGAGAACATGGTGTGAAGAGGAGCGAAAAAGGTAAACCAAGGTAAGAGAAAGCAGGTCTGTGTGTGTTTCTGTGAGTGTATGTATGCCAGTATGTAAATGTCTGTGAGTGAATGTGTCTCTGTATATGTGTGACTGCATTGATGTGCTTGTGTGTGCATGCATGACTGGGGGGAGGGGCAGCATTTGAGTCTTGTACCCAGGCAGCACAATGTCTTGGGCCAGCCATGAAGTTACTAGTGTACAAATAGAAGTGACCATGTGAAGCAATCAACAGAGACTTCAGAGAACTCAGATATAAAGCATTAAACCATCTCCAACTTAAAGGCATATATTAACAAGGCCTTCCTTAGGCTTTCTTGTGCTTTTATGTTAACAATGTATCAAATGAAACATGCCCAAGGGCCAACTCTTTGTTGTTTTTCTATGGTAGAAGCTGTAGTAACATAGGGTTTGTTTTTATTTAAGCTCTTTTAACTACAGGGCATTTCACTAGTAACTCACTAGCAATAATAATAATAATAAATAATCCATAATATTTATAGAGTTTATACATTTTCAGGAGAATTCTACAATTATAGACTTGAGTTATAGAACAACTAATTAACAGACAAAAAAGAAAAAAAATGACAATAAAAGTAAAAAGGCCCTGCCCAAACGAGCTTATAATCATTTATTGACTGAACTGTAAATAACTGCATTGCATGATACTGCTTGCTGTTTTTTATTGATCCAGAAATCCATCACGTAGCTAATATTTATATGGCTCCAACATATTCTTTTGCCAGAGCTGTTCCTGGATGGGTGCCCAGTATGCAGAGTGCCCAGGCGCTCTGTAGACAGAGGCGCAACGGGGGGTGGGGGGTGCAGTGTTAGACTCAGCTTCTCATGCTTGGCGTTGGGTGGCAGAGCTGGGAGGCAAAGATCATGGCACCTCCTGGCATTAGGATGGCACTGACAAACTATTTGATGATAACATGGCACTGGTAAGCGTTTTGGAAAGACAAATGGCACTAATTACCTAAATTAGGACAAAGATGGCACTGAAAAGCTATTTTGGGACAAAGCATTGATAAGCTAGTTGGGCACATAGATGGCACTAATTAGCTATTTTGGGACAAAGACGACACTGGGAAACTATATGTGGACATAGATGGCACTGGGAAGCTTTTTGGGGGGAAATCCAGTACTGTGGAAAGCGGGTGAGATGATACCTGGTGAAGTTTGGGGCCCCCAAAAAATGGAATAAATCATTTCGCATTCTTGTTTTTCCTGTGCATATTTATGTGGCTGGGAAAGTATTTGAAGGGTTATTAAGGCATAATATTCAGGAATTCATTGGGAAGAATATAGTTATTAACAGGTCATATTCAACTAACTTCATTGCATTTTAAAAAGACATAAGTAGAAGTATAGATCCGGGTGTTGCAGTGGATGTTATCTATTTGGATTTTGCCAAGGTGTTTGATAACCTCACAATAGGTTAGTCTTCAAACTAAAAGACATTTTTCTAAATGAAAATTGTTCTTGGGTAGAACATTGGCTTAAAGATAGAGTTGTCATTAATGGTAAATTTTCAAGCTGGACAAAAGTGGTAAGTGGTATCCCTCAGTACTCAGTTTTGGGACCATTTCTATTTAGCATATTTACAAATAATATCCTTGGTGATATGTAATCTATCTCGCTAATGATTATAATCTCTTCCAAAATAACATTTAATATATTTAAATGGATGTAGTTTTAAAATTAAAGCCATTTACCAGAAGACAAAAACTGTATTTGGAACATTAACAACAAAGACATAATGCAGCCCCAATCCCACTTGGCAACTTTCAGCTAAAACATTTAGACCTTTCTGTCAACTGTTGTAGTGTTTAGTTTCCAGAAATACAGCTGTTACGGAGTCAGTGTACCAGATAACACATAAGCTCTTGAAAAACATTCACACTTCTTTTAAAGGGAAGACTGTCATCAGAATTCTTACGGTGACTTCCGAACGTAGTGGCTGGGCCACCAGACACATTAATGCTATCAGACAGACATACACACTCACAGAGATACCCTGACAAATACTTACAGAGGGTACAAATTCACTGAGATATACTCACAGACACACACACATGGGTGCACATGGATATATTAACAGTGTCAAACATACACAACCCAATACACACTCCAGGCACACACAGATACACTATACCAAGCAAGTAATGGTAACACACACTCTGCTAACTATCAGCAACCCAACTGTTACACACACTACTACACACAGACACCTTGGGACACATAAAAATACACTCTACAGACAGCACTGAACACACTCTCACACATTATATATTTATATAAACACACACACATATACTCTACACACACAAATTTAAAGATTTTTTTTAATTCAAGCACCATTTTGCAGCTGAAGGTTGGCTTCCCTGGTTCCACTGGGAATCGGGCTGTTGCAGGGCTGTGGACTGTGGGTGACAGGCTCCTCACCTAACTTGCCCCATGGCTCCCACCCAGTGCTGGTGCACCGAATGAAGAGGGGGTAGTCAGTGTAGTTTAAGGGGCCTGGGCTGCTAAAATTCTGAAATACACTGCAGTCCATGCAGGCTCCATTGATCGACCAGGCCCCTGAATGGGGGTAGCCCTGTTAAAAGAATATAGTAACAAAAGATATACATGTGTTTTTCATATATCTGCCTGTCAATCTGTGTATACATAGTTGAAATGCCACGGGTGTCTTTTTTTCAGATTCTGTCAAAGTGCTCAGGAAAGACATTTCCCTAAAACTTTCAAGTAAAACAGCAATTTGGGGTTTGACAAAAAAACATGTTACTGTTAATGCAGTTACCCTTTAACCCCTTAAGGACCAAACTTCTGGAATAAAAGGGAATCATGACATGTCACACATGTCATGTGTCCTTAAGGGGTTAAACTAGTGCTTTATTCATGATATAGTTTGTATATAAACACAGTAACAAAATGCTGGCCAACACAAGTTATTACAAAATTATATTAAATTCCGTTATTCGAATTAATTAGTTTTTTTTTACTAAGGTGACAGTTGCCAGGAATTCAAAGTGAGTTTCAAATTGAATTGCAAAATGTATAACAAAATAGTTAAATAAGAAAAATCTTCTAAGACAATTCTGTTTTCAGTTCAGCTATTTTGCCGTTAAATTTGAAATTCAGGAATGCCTGTCAGGACTCAGTGGGAATATAGCAAATATACCTGTAAATAAATACTTCAAGGGGGAAATAGACTCATGTATGTTAAAAAAAAAAAAAAAAAAGTATTCTACATTGATACAATGAAATAATGTATCCTCTAACATTATTTTAAATCAAAACCATAGTAAGCTTGATAAAAGGGGTTGCGGGCGGATACTGGCTCTAAGAAAAAGTCTTACCATCTCTAGTTAAATATTTATTACTTTGATACAATATCATTTCTTTACTATGGAACAGCCCTGGAAACTTAAATAAAGTAATCTTCGGGTATATGTATGCGTACCTCAATGCTGTCTTTATCAGTGAACTACACCAAGTAAAACATGAGCCCTTTCCACTGATGCAATAGTTCTTGCGCTTGCAATTCCATTCATTGCAAATTGGAATCAATATGTAGAACATGAACAGCCTTGGCTAGATAAAGTCACATCTAGGTCAGAGGTAGGTAACCTCAGGCACTCCAGATGTTGTGGACTACATCTCACCTGATGCTTGGCCAGAATTATGACTGTAGGATCATTATGGGAGATGTTGTACAAAACATACGGAGTGCTAAAGGTTGCTTACCCTGATCTGGGTGATTATATCTATCTATCTATCTATCTATCCATCTATCCATCATTAATATTCTAATGTAGAATGCATGAAACCTCATTAGTTCACTGGACCCCTATATTTGTGGAAAGACCTACAATTACCAAGTGGACCACTAATTTACTTTTATGAAAATTAAAGTTCAACATCCCTATTCCATATATACACCTGTCTAGCCTGCAGGTATGGTTGGATTGGTAATGCAAGTTTAATGAAATATTTACTTCAAATATAAGGTATTTTGTATGACACCTGTGCCATTAGCGCAGTTTGACCATGTACTACCTGGGATGTTCAAATATTCTATTTATATATTGGATCACACATTTCCATGAATAAGAGGTTAACTTGACACATTTACATTGTTTAGTTTACACTGTTCCAGTTATGCCTTAGAGTTCCACATAATGGGGATTGCAGCATTTGTCTTGTGCATTTCCATTTAGAATTGTGTGATTTTATAAATGGATGAATGCTATATAAGGCACTATGTAGTGGATGTCCATTCTAATCATGTATGATCACATCTCACAGACACTTTGTATCCAGAATAGAACCATAACAATGTAATCAATATAGGTTGTTCAAAATACCTTTGTTTACAGTCACATCCATCTGGATGAGGTCCTGGGAGATCTGGCCCCTGGTAGTATGCTTGGTGATGGTCCTGAGAGTGCCACCTTCACTGCGACCCTCACTGCTAGCTGGCTGGGACTTCAATGCCACCTCCACTGTCCCCTCACTGCTAAGTTCACTTACCCCTCATTGCCCACTGCCCCTTCAAAGCCACATCCACTGTCCCTTCACTGACTGGGACCCACACTGCCAAATTCACTCACCCCTCATTGCCCACTGCCCCTTTACTGCCACACTCACGGTCATTGTTATGCCAACTTCTCTGCCCCTCACTGACAGAATCTGCCCCCCTTACCCTCTCTCTGCCCTCTCAATGCCAGTCTCTGCCACCCTTTCAGTGCTACTCCCTGCCCCCTCTCTGCCCCCTCTCTGCCACCCTCCCTCACCGTGCAGGATGTGCTGCTCTGACACCGAAGGAAATATATTTTGTTTTGTTTGTGATTTGTGTCTCCTTTTTATGGATTCCTCCTCCTCCCCCTTCTCCACCCGCTTTCACCTCCTTTCCCTGCCTGACATCAGTCCAGTCTGAACCGGTTTCTATAACTGGAGAGAGTGGAAGATAATGAATCAGGAGGGGGTGCTCCAATGCAAAGGATTCGGAGCTCAGTGCAGCTGAATGCCTGGTACAGTGGTACCTCTCTCTTCCTCTGCACACAGTCACACCATAACCACTGTCTGCAACCTCTGCACACAGTCACACCACCACCACTGCCTGCAGCCTCCTCACACAGTCACACCATAACCACTGTCTGCAGCCTCTGCACACAGTCACACCACCACCACTGCCTGTAGCCTCCTCACACAGTCACACCATAACCACTGCCTGCAGCCTCCTCACACAGTCACACCATAACCACTGTCTGCAGCCTCTGAACACAGTCACACCATAACCACTGTCTGCAGCCTCTGCACACAGTCACACCACCACCACTGCCTGCAGCCTCCTCACACAGTCACACCATAACCACTGTCTGCAGCCTCTGAACACAGTCACACCATAACCACTGTCTGCAACCTCTGCACACAGTCACACCATAACCACTGTTTGCAGCCTCTGCACAGTCACACCATAACCACTGTCTGCAGCCTCCTCACACAGTCACACCATAACCACTGCCTGCAGCCTCCTCACACAGTCACACCATAACCACTGTCTGCAGCCTCCTCACACAGTCACACCATAACCACTGTCTGCAGCCTCCTCACACAGTCACACCATAACCACTGTCTGCAGCCTCTGCACACAGTCACACCACCACCACTGCCTGCAGCCTCCTCACCCAGTCACACCATAACCACTGTCTGCAGCCTCTGAACACAGTCACACCATAACCACTGTCTGCAACCTCTGCACACAGTCACACCATAACCACTGCCTGCAGCCTCCTCACACAGTCACACCATAACCACTGTCTGCAGCCTCTGCACACAGTCACACCACCACCACTGCCTGCAGCCTCTGAACACAGTCACACCATAACCACTGTCTGCAGCCTCTGAACACAGTCACACCATAACCACTGTCTGCAGTCTCCTCACACAGTCACACCATAACCACTGTCTGCAACCTCTGCACACAGTCACACCATAACCACTGTTTGCAGCCTCTGAACAGTCACACCATAACCACTGCCTGCTGCCTCCTCACACAGTCACACCATAACCACTGTCTGCTGCCTCCTCACACAGTCACACCATAACCACTGCCTGCAGCCTCCTCACACAGTCACATCATAACCACTGTCTGCAGCCTCCTCACACAGTCACACCATAACCACTGTCTGCAGCCTCTGAACACAGTCACACCATCACCACTGCCCTCTCCTCTGCACTCAGTCACACATCACCACTGCCCTCAGTCTCTGCATAGAGTCCTACCATAACCACTGCCCTATCCTCTGCACACAGTCACACCACCACAACTGCCTGCAGCCTCGTCACACATCACCACTGCCCTCAGTCTCTGCATAGAGTCCTACCATAACCACTGCCCTATCCTCTGCACACAGTCACACCACCACAACTGCCTGCAGCCTCTGCACACAGTCACACCATAATCACTGCCTTACCCCCTGCACACAGTCACACCATAACCACTGCTCCATCCTCTGCACACAGTCCCAACAACACCACTGCCTGCAGCCTCTGCACACAATCACACCATCACCACTGCCCTCAGCCTCATCTGGGGAGAGAGGCACACATCATGTCTCTGCAAACTGTTATACCAAACTACAGCCTGTAACAAAGCCTCCCACCCTGAACAACGCGCACCATGTATGTAATGTCTGTGTATGTAAGATATAGAAACAAATATACATGTAACAATGGATAGTCAGGATATAGAAAATACATATATACATAATAAAATGTATACAAAATATACATAATAAAATATTAATTCTCAACAAATATATATATATATTTTTCAGATAATATTTTTTTTTTTTTGCATTGATCCTCACAAATGAGGAAGTTAATGCAAAACGATATTCCTACACATAGGGTGAAACAGTCTTCTATTATAATGACTTAAAGTGTCACCTTATGAGCAGAAAAAGTGCATATTATCAAATGAACAATCAACAAAATAATATAGTTAAATCAAAATGCCTGGGTAATGTCAGGTTGTTCTGTATATGTGCGGTATCTGCAGTAAATGATTTGGGAGTATATCTATGAGTGGTAACCCTGGTACCAGCACCACTGTAGTGTACACAGGTGAGTGCAAGTGACAAAACATTTTTTGTAGTCAATATATATTATTATTATTATTATTATTATTATTATTGCCATTTATACAGCGCCAACAGATTCTGTAGTGCTTTACAATATTATGAGAGGGGGGATGTAACAGTAAATAGGACAATTACAAGAAAACTTACAGGAACAATAGGTTGAAGAGGACCCTGCTCAAACAAGCTTACAGACTATAGGAGGTGAGGTATTCGAAACGTTAGGACAGGAAATATCAAATAGGGTGGGAGTGAAGCAGAGCTGGTGGAGAGAGTAAAGCACTGCCCTAGAGGAGAGAGCTGGAGACAGGTCTGTAAGGTGGAGATTAGTCTGGGAGGCCATAAGCTTTCCTGAAGAGATGGGTTTTAAGGCCCTTCTTAAATGATTGAAGACTAGGGGAGAGTATATGTGTATGTATATATATATATATATATATATATATATATATATATATATATATATTATCATAAATGGTTTATAAATGGCTTCAGATTAAACCATAAGAACAAAGAGCGACTGATTTATAAAGGTTTCTGGAACCCAGGGACATATTATTTTTCCCTAATACAGTATTCACCATTATGTATCCTATATGTTCAATAATATTTTTAGGATGGTGTTAAAGAGTTACCCCAATGCTTTTTTCATTATTATATTTAGGGATTTATAATGCCCTATTTGGTCTCCCTGAGTTTTAATAAATAAAAACCCGTAAAAATAGCTTAAAACGTATTTTAAATCCAGCGCTGGGCCAAGTTCCCGGATCTTTTCCATGCCTACTCTGTTCTCATCACGTGTCATAGTTCAGGATCGGTAATCCAATTACACTTGAGGAGAACAATGTAAGGGGGGATGACTACATGGAAGGACAGCAGACCACATAGTGTAAGTGAAGGGGAGGGAGGCTGAACGAAGACAGTTCTGAAACCACATGAAATGTAAAAAGAGAGAGCAGGCACTGGTGTAGAGTAGGGGAGCTGCAGAGAGTAAGAGTCAGAGTCAGAAATCTGGACCCTCATCTTTTCCGGTGCAGCTGCATCATATCTAGTGCCACAGCATCAGCTGTGTCCTTTGCTGGACTCCTGATGGGTCCAAAAAGCTAATGAACATGCTGCAAGCATGCGTGAGCCCACAGTGTCACAGTGCTGCTCACTTCCCCTTTACACAAACTAGAGCCAGTGTTCTGCCAGATAACAGGACCTGTGAGAAATCCGGACCTTTGTCATGTCCTGTGCTGCACAGGCGTGCTAACACTCCTGACTGGTCCAGAAATTGAATGGACACGCTGCAAGCATGCGCAAGACCACAGCGTCCGCTCTAGTGAAGGCCCTAATTATAACCTGAGTGTGATAGTAGCTTTACTTACCTTGCAGGACCTTGCAGTCTTTGTATGCAGGGCCAGATTAAGAGCCCCATGGGCCTGGTGCTGACAATTATGATGGCCCTAATTACAAAATCTTATTTACCAAAAACACTAAAACAGTCCTACCTCCTAAGCGTCATGTATCTGATGTAGATGGTGCTGGAGGGAAACTCATAGGATGCAACTATGAGAAAACACATACCCTATGCTAATCTCATGCTTTCATCTTTAAGTAAACCGATACCCCCTAACAGCAGTGTCCAGTAAAGCAGGAAGTCTATGGATGGGGTAAAAGGGTGGGCCACTGACACAAATCTGCCAAAAGGGGCGAACATACAGAAAAAAAAGTGGCATGTTTGTGTCCTCATGTCTCTCAGTCCCTTAGTGTCTGTGTCCCCATGTCACTAGGACACTAGGGGACATTGAGAGACATTGGGACACTGGGAGACATGGGGACACTGAGATACTAGGGAACACTGAGAGACCTGGGGACACAGACTCTTGGGGACACTGGGAGACATGGATAAATGGGGACACTGGTTGACTTTGGGACATGAGGGGACATGGGAGACATGGGGCATGGGGATACTGTATATAGGGGACATTAGAGACTTGATAAACGTTGCGGTGTCCAATAAACCTGCTTAAATCTATCAGTGAGTGTCTGAGATTTTTTCTTTTATACTAGGGGACACTGAGACACTAGGAGACATGGGAACACTGGAAGACATTGGGACACTGAGACACTGGGAGACTATGGGACTTTGGGAGACTAGAAAACACTGAGACACTTGGGACACTGGCACACTACGGACATTGAAAGACACCAGGGACACTGGGAGACATGGAGATATTAGGGACACTGGCTGGGAGACATGGGGACACTGGGAGTGCCCCATGTCTCCCAGGTCTCAAAGTCGCCCAGTGTCCCCATGTCTCCCTGTGTCCCCTAATGTTTGTGTCCCCATGTCTCCCAGTGTCCCAATGTCACTAGGACACTTAGAGACATTGGGACACTGGGAGAGACATGGGGACACTGAGACACTGGGAGAGAAATGGGGACACTGAGATACATAGGGACACATAGAATAGGGGACTCTGGGAGAGTAGGGGACTCTAGGAGACTAGGGACACAAACACTAGGGACACCGAGAGACACCAGGGATGCTGGGAGACATGGGGACACTGAGAGACTAGGGGCCACTGGGAGACATGGGGCCACTGTGTCCCTAGTGTTTCAGGGTCCCCATGTTCCCCAGC